CTCTGTGTAAAGTGAAACCCTAACCCTCTCTCTGTGTAAAGTGAAGACCTAACCCTCTTTATGTAAACTGAAGCCCTAACCCTCTCTCTGTAAAGGGAAGCCCTAACCCTCTCTCTCTCTGTAAAGCGAAGCCCTAACCCTCTCTCTCTGTAAACTGAAGCCCTAACCCTCTCTCTTTCTGTAAATTGAAGCCCTAACCTTCTCTCTCTGTAAACTGAAGCCCTAACACTCTATCTCTGTAAAGTGAAACCCTAACCCTCTCTCTGTGTAAAGTGAAGCCCTAACCCTCTATTTCTGTAAATTGAAGTCCTAACCCTCTCTCTATGTAAACTGAAGCCCTAACCCTCTCTCTGTAAACTGAAGCCCTAACCCTCTCTCTGTAAAGTGAAGCCCTAACCTTCTCTCTCTGTAAATTGAAGTCCTAACCCTCTCTCTCTGTAAACTGAAGCCCTAACCCTTTCTCTCTACAAACTAAAGCCATAACCCTATCTCTCTCTTTAAACTGAAGCTCAGACCATCGGTGAAGCCCCACGCGTCGGCAGCTGCGCGCTCGCATCCGTGTTTGTCGTCCGCGCGCGCGTCTGAGCAAACGCGCCGACTCGCACTCGAGTCTCGCCTTGTCTCGAATGAGACTCGTTGTCTCGGCGGACCGCCTCGGTTCGTTTGCTCTGGCCGATGAAATTTTATCGGTGCAAATCGTCAGCCGATTAGTGGCGANGATTGGGAGGGGAGACAGGGGAGGGAGGGGGAGGGAGGGGGGGAGACAGAGAGAGGGAGGGGGAGGGAGGGGTGCGCGTGGGCGTGGCAGAGAGCTGGGATGGGGGAGGGGAGAGCGAGGGAGGAGGGGTGGGGAGGGACCGCGGGGAGGCTAGGAGGGAGGGAGAGTGGGCAGGAGAGCTGGGACGGGGGAGGGGGCAGGAAGAGAGGAGGGAGGAGCACGGAGCACACAGAGACAGACAGAGACAGACAGAGACAGAGAGCGCGCACTCGCGCAAGTAACACATTAAAAATCGTCATCAATAACAAGAGAGCAGGCGCGCGCGCGCGTCGCTTTCAGTGCAGTCTGCTTGCCGCCCCCAGGCGGCGGCTTTGCTAAAGCAGTTCTCTTACACAGACTCTCACTACAGCAGCATTCAGTCTATACATGGTTCTATCGGTGGCTGTCTCTATGTAGAACGCGTGAGAGTCTCCTCTCGTTGCTGTAGTTGTAGTGGGTGGAGCAGAGATGCTGATGCTGCTGCTGATGTTGTTGTTGTTGTTGTTGCTGTTGCTGCTACTGCTGCTTTTACTGCTGCTGCTGCTGTTACTGCTGCTGCTGGTGGTGTGGTGGTGGCGGCGGCGGCGGTGGTGTTGTTGTTGCTGCTGCTGCTACTGCTGCTGTTACTGCTGCTGTTACTGCTGCTGCTGGTGGTGTGGTGGTGGCGGCGGCGGCGGTGGTGTTGTTGTTGCTGCTGCTGCTACTGCTGCTGTTACTGCTGCTGTTACTGCTGCTGCTGCTGGTGTGGTGGCGGCGGCGGCGGCGATGGTGATGGTGGCGGTGGTGTTGTTGTTGCTGCTGCTACTGCTGCTGCTGTTACTGCTGGTGTTACTGCTGCTGCTGCTGCTGCTGCTGTTGCTGCTGCTGCTGCTGCTGTTACTGCTGCTGCTGCTGCTGCTGCTACTATTGGCTATTGCTACTGCTTCTAATAACTAATCGATAGTAACTTTAATCGATGCATGCTGTGCGTTACAAGTTGGACGTTTGACACAATGTGGCGCGTTACAGATATACGCCCTGTTCATCTCCCTTCACCACTGCTACCACCCACTCCCCCCCTGCTACCACCCACTCCCCCACTGCTACCACCCACTCCCCCACTGCTACCACCCACTGCTACCACCCACTCCCCCACTGCTACCACCCACTCCCCCACTCCCACCACCCACTCCTCCACTGCTACCACCTATACACTCCATATCACCACCCGCTATCCTCTCCCCCGGCCTCAGCCCCCTCTTTCCCTCTGCCACCCCCTTCCTAGGCCGCCATCCCTCTTTCCCTCTGCCACCCCCTCCGCCTGCCGACACCCCATCTTCCCCTCTGCCACCCCTTCCACCGGCCAGCACCCCTCTCACCTTCTGCCACCCCTTTCCCCGGCCAGCACCTCTCTCACCCTTTGCCACCCCCTCCCCCGGCTGACACTCCATCTTCCCCTCTGCCTTCCCCTTCCCTCTGCCACCCCCTCCCCCACCTTCCGCCCCTATTCCCTTCTGCCACATCCTCCTTCGGCCAGCACCCCTCTCACCCTCTGCCACCCCCTCCTCCGCTCTCAGTCCATCCATTCACTCAGCCATCCCTCCCCCTGCCGCCACCCCTCTTCCACTCTGCCTTCTCCTTCCCTCGGCCCCCTCCTCTGCCCCCAGTCCATCTTACCCTCAGCCACACCCTCCCTCTGCCGCCACCCACTACCCCCGGGCCGTCATCAGTTCGATGACGTCAACAACGTGTTGCGGTGACCAGTCACGATTCCAGGAAGCTGGAATTCGCCGCGCGCGTGCTCGCGGGACCGAAATCGCCATCGTGCGGCGCTCCCGGGATGCTGCGGATGCGGTTGATGCGGTTGCCGTGGCGATCGATCGTGCGCGGATGCTGCGCATCCTCGGATGGCCGGCGTCAATTTTAGCATTGCGGAATTTGTTCGAGTTGCAAATGAACGATCAACTGGAGAGGAGAGGAAGGTGGCGTGTGGAGGAGGCAGGAGGGAGGGGAGGGAGGGAATAGGTAGAGAGGAAGAGGGAGAGAGGGCATGAAGGGAATAGGTAGGGAGGAAGAGGGAGAGAGGGCATAAAGGGAATAGGAGGAGAGGGAGAGGTAGCGAGGAGGAAGAAAGAGATGGGGCATGAAGAGGGAGCAAGGCAAAGAAGAGGGAGGGAGGGTGGGAGAGAGGGATGGAGGGCAGGAGGGTTTTAGGGAGGGAAATAGTATGTCAGTGGATGGATGGATGAATGCATGGATGGATGGATGGACGGATGGATGGATGGATGGATGGATGGATGGATGGATGGATGGATGGATGGATGGATGGATGGAATGTATGATCTGAACTGAGATTGGATGGGTGCATGGATGATGGAAGGGTGGACGTTGGAATGGATTGCTGATGATGGATGTGGACATGGAGGATTATGATGGATGGAATGATGGATGATTGGATCGCTGATGAATGGACTGCAGGATGGGACATGGATGATTGCGCTGGATAATGGATGGTGCATGATAATGGACACATTTGATGTGACGGCTGTATGCATTGGTTTGGATTGGACTGATCGAAATGAGGGATGGATGGTGGGATGATGGTGGCCATCGAAATGACGGACGATAGAGCATACCGACTAACGAATACACAACACGACGGATGGACGATGGATCAGGACCGAGCGCGCCAGAGGGTGCTGGCCAGGGAGGCTGCATCACCATCGCTGATATATGCACTACATGTTGGCTGGCGGGGCGTGCCGATGATTGCCGCTGGCTAATTAATACGCTGGCAATTATCTGCTTAAACAAATGTCACTGTTAACCAGTAATCCGCTATATTTACCTCATTCAATTCCGCGCATACTCTGCAAATCCAGACATCAGCTCATTGATTCGCATATTCTGATCCTGGCCATCCGCTTGGCAACTGCATCGCAACCCCATATCGCCATTAATCCATCCCACTCAGGCTCCTACAATGTGATAAGTATCCATCATGCGGCATATATGCTGCAATTCCATCCCACACAGCCCATCCATTCGCCACGACATCCATCCATCATCAGCCTCTACAACACCAGCTCTTCCATTCATCCAACCATGCCATTCCATCCATAGCCACAAGCAGCGCCAATTATACATTTCAAACCAACCATTAATTTTATCCATCCATCCATCATCCATCCACCCCAATTGCCATCCATCCATCATCTATCCATCATCAGCCCGGCCTTCCATTCATCGCCATTCCATCCCACTACCACCAGCCATCTATCCATCCATCCTATCCCATCCATGTCCATCCATCCATCCAACCTCCTGATCCACCGCAGCTCCCTCTCAGTGCCACTCCATGGCATCCCATTCGCCATCCATCCAATCCATCACATCCATCCACATCGCCATTATAGTCCATCCATGTCATCCATCCATCCATCCCATCCATCATACAATCCACCCCACATCCATACCATTGACCATCCATCCATCCATGTCCATGCCATCCCATCACCATTCCATCCACCATCCATCATCCCCATCCTCCATCCGTACCATTCCATCCATCCATGCCGTCCCATCCATCCATCCATACCCGTCCTAATCTTTATCCAACCATTCCATCCATCCAATCCATCACCCTCTTCCATCCTGTCCACCATCCATTCCATCCTCGTCCATCGCATCCATCCATCATCCATCCATATCTTCCGTCCATCCACCCTCCACATCCATTCGTCCATCATGCCATCCATCATCGTCCATTATCCTCCTATCATCCACCATCCATTCATCCATTCACCCATCTATCCACATATATATATATATATATACATGTATATATATATATATATATAAACTATATGCTTGCATACGTACGTAGCTACATAATCTGATAGCTGGGATGTAAAGTAAACCCCGCTCCACACACAAACACACTAATTAGTGATCACGCTAATATGCCGTGATAGCTGCTCATAATTTATTCACGTTTGAATAATTGAATGACGGATTATACGGAAACGGCAATTCCGCCGGGGAACGCCGCGAGAAACGCGAGCCGTACAATGGCGATGATGCGTTGCCACGGCAACGCACGACGGATGATGCGCGGTTGCCGGGGTAACTGCCGGCATTTTTATTTTTATTCGCGTCCAATTTCTCATCGTCTGTACTCTCTTTTTTTTCTCTCTGTTTGTATCTGGCTCATCCCGTTCGTTGTCACGTCGACTGACGCTCTCTTGTTTTCTCTCGCCCGCAGGAAGCGAAGCGGAAGCCGAACGATCGCGAGGCGATTCGTCGCAAGCTCGCGATGGCGCCCATCGACGACGACGAGGACGACGCCTCGCCCGCGCCGGCGCCTCCTTACGGCCATCTTTACGCCGGGTTCGGTGGCGGCGGCGGCGCGGCGCGCGGCGCAAAGCTGAGCCTGCAGCGCCGCCTACAAGTCGGCGCCGACCTCCAGATCTGCTTCGTGAACGAACCCTCCCCTCCCGCGCCTCCTCCCCCCCGCCCTCCCGCTCCGCACGCCTCCTCCGGGTTCTCCTCATCCTCCCCCTCCTCCCCGTCGTCGTCCCCCTCCCCCTCGCAGGCCTCCGACGACGCGTCGCCGCCGCCCGAACACAAGAACGTCTACCGCTGCAGCGGCACGATGGAGCAGCTGAGCCGCACGAGCGCGGCTCCGCCGCCAGAGGGCGCCGCGGGCGACTTCTTCGTGGCGCAGGCGCGGCTGCAGGCGGAGGCGCGCGCCGCGCTCGAACAGGCGTCGCACATGGCGCGCATGCAGATGGAGGTCGAGCGCGAGCGGCGACGGCGCTCGCCGATCGCCGACCTCGTCCCGCTCGCCGCCGCCGCCGCCGGGGGGCGCCGCCGTCTGCCGCGGCACGCGCTCGCCGCGCTCAACGTCGCGCAGCTGCAGGTGATTGTCAACGACCTGCACGGCCAGATCGAGGCGCTGAACACGGACCTCGTGAAGCGGCTGCTCGAGCGAGACGAGCTGCACATGAGGCAGGACTCGATGCTGGTCGACGTCGAGGACCTTACGAGACGCGCGCGAGACCAGGCGGAGCGCGCCAAGCTGAGACGCCGCCTCGAGATGGCCGATTAGAGAGGAGGGGGTGGGGGAGGAGGAGAGGGGGAGAGGGGGAGAGGAGAGGGGGAGAGGAGAGGAGGGTGAGAGGAAGGGATAGGATGAGGAGATGACGAGAGGAGGAGAGGAGAGAAGGGGAGGAGAAGAGGAGAGGGGGAAGATTAGAGAGGAGATGAGGAGAGAGGAGGGGGAGAGGAAGAAGGAGAAAGAGGAGGAGGAGAGGAAGGGTGGATGAGCAGAGGAAGATGAGAGGGGGAGGGGAGATAAGGGGGAGGAGAAAAGGAGAGGGGAAAGATTAGAGAGGATATGAGGAGAAAGGAGGGGGAGAGGAGGAAAGGGAGAAGAGGAGAGCCGAAAGGGGAGTTGGGGGAGTTGAATAAACTTTAGGGAAGGTGTTAAAAGTTAAACATGGATTCCACGGAGAAATCTTGTCTCTCTCCGTTTCTTTCCAGCTCTTTGTCTCTCTCTCTCTCTATCTCTCTCTCTCTCTCTCTCTCTCTCTCTCCTCTCTCTTTCTTCTCTCTTTCTCTCTCTCTCTCTCTCTCTCTCTCTCTCTTTCGCTTTCTTTCTCTCTCAATATATCTATCTAGTCTCCTAGTGTATGCCAATACTTAATGCATTAGTAGAGAAGTGATAAGCATGTAATGGCCTGATAAACAGCTATGATCCATGATTAATATAAATCTATAGTATGCGGTTGTGTAATTACGGTTGTACTACAGCATGCATCACATGTACGCGCATATATATATATTATATTATATATATATTGCTCATGCATGATGCATGCTGGATTTCTGGGGGCAAGTGTTGACTGCAGGATATTATTTCTGTCAGTTGTATTCAAGTCGGGATTGTGGACATGTTATTAGCAGTTGTTGCGCGGACGCACGGCCGAGGCGGCATTAATGGAGGCAGCTCCCTCTATACATATAAATATATATATATATATATATATACGAGTGTGCGGCGTAGCAATTTCTTAGTCATTCCCCTTTGTAGTCTGCGAGAGATAGTGCGGTTTGTGTTCTGCTAGTTGTAAATACAGATGGCGGCCACCATCGCTTGTTTAATCTCTCGCTCTCTCTATCGGAGAGCGATCTTTCCGTTCTTTTCGTACACTCTTTTTTTAATTGCGCGCGTTGATTGCGTTTTTATCGTTGCTGTTTTTAACCTAGATGTATGTGAGCTTAGTGAGCTGGCAGTGGGAGTGTGCCAGGGTGTGTTGCGGCGGGGGGGGGTGCTGTGTAGGTTTTAGGGTGGATACCCGCTAATCGAACAGTCTGGTTGCAAATTTGTTGGCCGATGTTGTGAGCTTAAACTCGAGAATGCGATGATGAGGAAGAGAGAGCGAGAAAGGAAGAGAGGGTGAGAGAGAGTGGGAGAAGGAGAGAGAGCAAGCGAAAGCGAGCGAGTGGGAAGATGCGCAAATATGTAATTAATCTGAGATGACAAGCATCGTGTGTTGTGTCTTTCCTAATTACGATCCGGTTACAGTTGATTACCCTCATAATTACTTCGTTAATTGCTAGTTATCTGATCCACAGCTAGTCTCTCCACGCGAGCTACGATTACGACTCCCTCATCGCGAACTCGCGCGCGGAAATCTAGCAGCGCCCTCTATCGTGCGAGCGCGCTGCGACGGTGGCGCCCCGCAGTGCCGCTCGTGTTTCCGCTCGTTTGCCGCGTACTCCCCGAGTAACTAGTGTGTTTGTGTGAACATTACGACACCAGGGGGCAGCTCGAGCGTAATTATGTCAGGCAGCTGTGAGATGGTAGATGAATTTTAAATCTTCTTCATTCATTCAGATTTAACTATAGTGAGCTACATAAATATATATATATATATATAAATATGTATATATATATACATATATATATATATATTTATATACATACGTGCATATATTGTACATTGGATGTTGTTGTAGTGCATAGCTGATACCAAGTCTAGTATCATATTTAGAATAGTATTTTATGATAAGATAATATCAGATATTGTAATATATTCTAAAGCGAACTCGACGGTGTTGAGCATCTAGGGCGAGTTTCGAGGAGTGTTTACTGTCGCCATGGCAGCAAGGATGCTGGAGCATACCATCGCCATAGCAGCGCAGATTGACGGATATTGACTGCCGCCCGCGGCCGCGAGAGCTTGTTTGGCGGTCGGCGGATGCTCGGATGTTCTTCCGCTGTGTGGCTACTACGCACGTGACCCGCAGTGCTGCCACCTGCCGGCACGTCACGTAAAAGCAATACAAGTCGCCGTCTCGTGGCGATCGTAAATGTCATCGGCGGTTACTAACGACAAATTTTTTGCTCATTAATAATTATAAAGAATTTTGACAGGGGCAGAGATGCTGATCGCTAGGGACGGCTCTGATTGGCTTAATATTTGTCTCTTATTTATTTTTATTTTTTATTATTTTGCGCTAATTTTGTTTTTATTTTAGAATTAAGGGATAGAATTAAGGATATTACTTTTAAATTAGGATTAGGATTAGGGTTAGGGTTAGGGTTAACTGATTTCTATATCCAACAACTATTTGCTATCATTCACTATCTCTCCCTGATGACCTACTATTAATATAACCCTGACCTCATTGAGAGCGTGATCAGAGAGAGAGAGGGCAGCCACGTGTCGTGGCGATCGTAGACATTAATCGCGGATGACGGCGCGGGTGACTGCCGCGGGTGTTTCATTGCGATGATTCCATGCGTGACGGTATGTAGGCGTGAACGGGGGGCAGGGGGCCAGGTCTCTGCCCGTACATGCGGGGGGCGGGCGTGATGCGGGCGGTGTGAGGTGCGGACAGTTCTGTGAGTCTTCCGCCGCCGAAGGAGGGCGGAGTTAGAGTGGGGGGGGGGTGGGCCACCGCTCCACGCGCCGCCGTCGTCGCATTCTGAGTAGTATCTTCTTCGCGCTAGCTGTCTTCACCGTATTCCGGAACACACGTTGTGCGCGTTCTTCTTTTAGAACTGTATTGCCGCTGCTTTTTTTTTTCAGATGCCGGCGTTCCTCTTGCGTTTGTCCGCGTCTCGGAAGCGCGGTGTGTTTCGACGCGCGCTGTTCTTTTTTTGTATTATTTTTTGCTCGCGATCGGTGGTATACGTGAAGTTATAATTTAAAGAAACTTATTCATACCTGCCCTCAGAACGTTCGCTGTTCCGTGTCTGTTTCTGATTTCGTGTCCCCGCGTTTCGCTCCGCTGTCGTTGTTAGCGGGTTGCGTCTTACGAGGGTATCAATAAAGAAACCAAGGAAAAAGAAAAGGAAAATACCCATAACCAAATGTTTTCCATCAATTGATATAGAGTACCGAAGTGTGACGTCACCTTGGCAAAGACAACGCACGGCTGCCTGGTTTTTTCGTCTCTACACAAGCCACTGGGCTCCATATAGGTTTACTGCGTGGAAACTGTTGTGCGTACGTAAAACAGAGTGTGTGCGCTGCAGACAGCGGTAAAGCATCGGTAGCAATCGATCTTACAATATTTACATGAATTCTTTTAAAAAAATTAAAATTTTTTTTTTTTTTAAATATTTTTTCGTTTTGTTAATTATTTTATTTTTTTTTTTGTGCTTTTCACTTTCTCCTTAGGAAACTATAAAAACTGCCATGAATGACTCTCAGCAATGATGGTTACAATCGGGCTACAAACACGACACGTATGTTAATGTTACCAGAGATATGATTGGTGTAAGAACCAGCAGCGCTCCGTTGTCATGCACACCGTGACTGTCATCACTTCGGTACTCTATGAAGGGTCTATAGCGATGAACGCTGGATTAGTTTCATGTATAGCTTAGAATTTATTTATTAGTCGTAAACACGCCAGTTCTATCTCTGAAGATAGTCTTGCCAATATTGTTCTGTCCTATATGCGACTACTTTAAACGTATTACTCTGAAAAGGGAAAGATGTGAAAACAGACAGGAACAGTACTATTTCAAGCATGCTTACATCTTACTCTCAAGTATTGTGATTTACATGCCAAAGCTTTCATCCAACCTCTGGCACCCACCCCCGTTAGCGCACGCTCACTTCACCATGTTTCCGCCCCCCACCAAAAAAAACAAGATCTTGCGCCTACACCGGTGCAGTTATTACTCTTTTCTATCTCTGTCACTTCCCTCCAACCCACTTCAGTCTTCTCACCTACAGTCTCTCTGATCTCCCCTTCTGCTTTCTCTCTCTGCTCTCTCCCTCTATCTCCTCTCCCTCTATCTCTATCTCTCTCTTTCTTTCTTTTCTCTCTCTCTCTCTCTCTCTCTCTCTCTCTCTTCTCGCTCGCGCTCTCTCTCTCTCTCTCGCCGCCTCTTCTCCTCTCTCTCTCTCTCTCTCTCTCTCTCTCTCTTCTTTCCTTTCTCTCTCTACTTTCTCTCGCCCTCTCTCTGTCCCCCTTCTCTCTCTTCTCGTTCTCTCTCTCTCTCTCTCGTTCTTCTTCTTTCCCCTCTCTCTCTCTAGTTCTCTCTTTTCTCTCTTCGCTCGCTCTCTCTCCCTCTCTCTCTCTCTCTCTCTCTCTCCCTCCCTCCCTCCCTCCCTCCCGTCCCTCCTCTCTCTCTCTCTTCTCGCTCTCTTTTCTCTCTATCTTGACACCCGTTTGCGTCTGTCGCCATAATGTCGCACGAACCGCAATCATACAATCACGCACATATAACTAACAACCTAATGCGACTCACCGCACAGAATACTGCCTGCTCGTTATCATTCAAACGCAGTCGGGTAGCTACCGCCCAATGATATATTACAGGGGGGATTTAGAAGAACCACACCACCCTCTGGCTTACGAATAAATACCGTATCGCATGACCTGAACGCATGGGCAAAACCCTAATCCTAATCACACAACCCTAACCCTAACCCTAATCCTAATCACACAACTGATCCTAATCCTAATCCCCCCTCAAATCACACAACCCTAATCCTAATCACACAACCCTAATCCTAACCCTAATCCTAATCACACAACCCTGATCCTAATCCTAATCCTAATCACACAACCCTAATCCTAATCACACA